TCTTCAGCTCAGAAAGCACCTGTAGAGACATTTGATCACGCACAAAGTTTATGTGGAGCAGAAGCGGTCGGGCCACGGCAGGTGAAATGTTCCTAGCCTACATGAAGTGAAACTGTTTAATTGTAACATTAATATGTTACTGGACACGCTGGTCTGGTTGGTTGGACCAGTGTTTGAAGTAGAAAACACACACACACACACACACACACACACACACACACACACACACACACACACACACACACACACACACACACACACACACACACACACACACACACACACACACACACACACACACACACACACACACACACACACCAATTAAAATAATGCTGATAGCGTGGACTAGAAGACAGGTGATGGGTTACGTATTTAAATGATGATCAGGCTGCTGTAAAATGTAATCTCCATCCACATCCAGACAGAATTATCCTCTATTCTTTCTCTATTTGCTCTGCTCTTGTCTGGGCTGACGTAGCAGACGGTGCGCGCGGCGCGCCTAACTAGCGGCTGATGCATATTTTACGCATTTGGAGAGGTGAGCTGGATGCTTTGCTTTTACTGGAAGATGGTCCACTTAACGCACGGGTGTGGACTACATATTAATGACAAATGAACGAAAATTAAATTGTGAGGTTTTACTTCATATTTTAGAAATAAAAATGACGGGGGAACACATTTATGACGTCTTTTTAAACGAAATTTTCTAGCGCGACCTGCCTGCTTCACTTAAGTCACTGCTTATTAAGGTCCGTCCAAAATTACCGTGGGAAATGGGTAATAATGGCTCTTTGATGGGAACAGGTTGCCGACACCTGGTATAAGATCTGAGCTGGTAAAACAAAAGTCCTCATCAGCAGGCTTTTTTGAAAGTGGGGGTGACACAGCTGCCAATCACAAATTTTGCCGGGGACATGTCCCCGGCGTCCCCGGTTAAAATGACGCCTATGCCACAAACTCATGGCTAACCATTAAAGTGGAAGTCTACATCTAGTTTCTTCACTTCACCAGAAATTGCTAGCTTGATGGTTGGACTTTAGACAAAGTTGGATGTTCTCACAGGACAATGACCCAAACATGTATCAAATTTGATTTCTGATAGGCTTTCTGGCCCCACTCATTAGAATATTAAAGTAAATGTGTGTCTAAATTAAAACCAGTATTTATAAGTTTGACTATGTGAAAAACAGAAAATCAACATTTAATTCATACTTTTGAGCACAGCTATAGTTTTAAAAGTAATAAACTGAAACATTTTTCGTTTCTTTAATTTTAACTGAAAGGTTTATTTATTTTTCTTTTTTACAGACATGAATAAAACACTTTTCATTCCCATTTGTCTCAATTGAGGCTGTGATTCTGAGTTTTAGCGTCTTGACAGCCTTTTTACATGCCTTAGTGCAGGGGTTCCCAAAACTTTTCAGTCCGTGACCCATAAATTAACAGTTTCAAAGTCTCGCAACCCCCTTGAGATGAGTGAAATAATTAAACACACACGTGGAACTTAATCTTTAATAAGTGTACTCAAATAGACAGATTTAGAACCCTCAACAGGTAAATATGGCACGAATTTACATTTGAAAAGTGTAAAAGGCGACTCTGAAGACATTCTTGCTGTTGTGTGAAAACTTTAATATGTTACAATCCTTTGCAGTTTTTGTATAAGAACAAGGCAGTCAGTTAGCATTTTGGTTAATTTTCAGCTTCTAAAGTGACAGCAACTCAGTGCCACAACAATCTCCACACTTTCTTCCTAATTTTACTCTCTCCCGTCCCCCTCCTCCCTGCACACGCTCACACATACACAGCATTGCCATGGCAACAAATGGACATGCATCTCTGCCTCCCTTGAGTAAACATTTCCAGAACATATTAAAACAAAACTCCTAAACGGGTTACAAATGTTTGTAACAAATGCAACTCTTGATGAAATCTTAAAAAATGGTAATGGAAAAGTGCTTTCATTTCGATGTAGCAAAAAAAAAAAAAAAAAACTCATGCAAAGTCACAAACGATGTAATACAGAGGAACTTTGTTTCCATGCTTATTCACATTTTCAGAATGTATGAGATGGGTGGGCAATATGCTTGGAGCCGAGCAAGTCCATTCTGGGTTTAATTTTAGAGATGGCCACTCGAAGATCATCCTGCACGTTAAGACGTGATCTGTATTTATTTTTAATATATGTGAGGGTTGAGAAAGTCTTTTCACACAGGTATGTGGACCCAAACGGCATCAGAATGTCAATCGCAGCCTTAGAAAGCTGTGGATATTCTCTCTCAACTGAAATCCAGAACTCAGCAAGCATCTTTGAGTTAAAAGCGCTCTTTAAGGTGCGGTCGCTTGACAGTTCAACCAGTGCGTCCTCAATGTCGGATGACAAATGATGTGTGCTTGTTACGGTGAATGGAGATCTTATCCAGTCATATTTTTCTGGAGTTTTTTCCTCAGGAAAAAACTTGATTAAGTGTTCCAAGAGGGTTTGAAGGTGCGTAGTGATAAACCCCTTAACGGTGTTAACACATAAATCATTTTCCTCGATGAACTCCTCCAGTTCCGGAAACATGTCAAAACAGCCCGTTTTTACTCGTGCAGACCACCGATCCAGTTTCCTTTTGAATGCATTGATTTTGTCATTCAGTGACATGATGTTTGCGTTTTCAACTTGTAGTGATGGGTTTAACCCATTCAGCTTGTCAAATATGCAAGCCAAGTATGCTAGCCTTGTTAACCAGTCAGGATCAGTCAGATGGGCAGCAAGGTGAGACCCGTGCTCCAACAAAAATAGGCGCACCTCATCCCGCAGCTCAAACAAGTGCCTGAGAACGTTTCCCCGTGACAGCCACCTGACTTCTGTGTGGAAAAGCAGACTTTGATGCTCTGATACAATTTTGTTGCAGAGAGCAGTAAACAGTCTTGTGTTCAGAGGACGGGATTTTATGTTGCACTCTCAAGCACCGTTTTAAGCTCTGGGTCTAGCGATTTACTCGCCAGAACTTCTCTGTGGATAATGCAGTGCGTAAAGTTTATGTGTGGGGCCATTTGTACAACTCTTGCTTTAAGCCCTTTATTTTTCCCCAGCATTGCTGCAGCACCATCTGTGCTCACACTGATGCAATCATCCCAAGACAGCCCCTCCTCTTTCAGTTTTTTATCAATTTCTGTGAAAATGTCCTCACCTGTGCACTTTGCTGACAGTGTGGTGCAAAACAGCATGTCCTTGTGAAGTTTTCCATCAAAACTGTATCTGACAAAAACGAGCAGCTGTGCAGAGTTTGCGACATCTATGGATTCATCTAACTGCAAAGCGTATTTTCCTCTCTTGACTCTGTCATTCAACTGAGGCTTGATGTCCTGCGCCATCTCTGTGATGCGCCGGGATATTGTCCCATCAGACAGCGGGACCGCTTTCAGCTCCTGGGCTTGTTTATCTCCATGCATTATTTGGCTCACTGCGATAGCAGCAGGTTTTATTTGGATCTCTCAGATTGTGTGCGTTTTTTTTGCCTGTGCAATTAAATATGCCACCTCATATGCCTTTTGAGCTTTTGCAGAGATTGTTTTCTGGTTGGTCATAACTTTCTTTTGGCTTTGAAATGCTCTCTCTTTTCGACGGAAGAAGTCTGCTGGTTTAGCTGCAAATGAGGAGTGCTTAGTTTTCAAATGTCAAAGCAATTTTGCAGGCTTAAAGCTCTCATTTGCAAGCAACTCAGTGCACATTACACATTGGGGGTATTGTATTTCGTTTATAACAGTGCACGTAAATCCATACTGGATATATTCCTCTCGATACCTGCGAAATTTAGGCGAAGGCTGATTCAGCTGCGCCTTATACTGCAGCTTATGAGCCTCCCGCCTCAGATGTGCTGTTCCTCGAGTCTGCTGCTGCTGCATGATCAGTTGGCTTCTGTTCATTATCTCTAATATGTGTCAACCAGCGCTTCATATTGCATATAAACCATGTTACCGTAAAACATTTTGGAATATTTGAGTTGTTCAGAAGAAACGTGTTTACCGCAGCGCTGCAAAGTAAACCGTCAGTCGCAAATTGAGCTGCCGTAAGAGCCTTGCTTCGTGACCCAGCAGGGGCGTATTGCGACCCCGGAAATGGGAACCCCTGCCTTAGTGCATCAAGCAGCATCAGGGGATGTGTTTTTGAGCTAGAAGGATTAGTTCCAGTAGAGTTTCAGTGAACATTTAGAACTGATACGAGGGAACCTGTTCCATCTTTAATTAGATTGCCTGGATGTGCTGAAGAGTGTTGGGTATTTTTATAAATGTACCTTTTTGAGACCTAAAAGATGCCCATTACACATCATGAATCTCTGTGTTGGTACGTTCATAAAAAGGTTGAGCAAAGATGTTAATTGAGAGAACTCTGTAACTCTGTAACTTGAGAAGGTCCGCCTTCTCCCCCCATCCATTTGGTGAATAAAGCCCCTGAAGAACTAGGAGCACACGGGAGTGACGTGGGGGAAGCCTCGGAGGAGGTTTCTCTGCGTTAACTCTCCGTGTTCTCTAGACTCAGGGTAAAATGTCTTCCTTGTTGTCATGTGTGTTATTACAGGTTCCAGGGTTATGGAGATTAAATATTACCTAACATTCTAGTCTCCTGATGGAGACCACGGGTATGCAGAGCTGGTGAGGTAAAGGCTGGAGCAGAGTGGGGCTGGTTGAGACACACACATGGACATTACAAATAATCAATTTACTCTCTCTATCAAAGGGTGTGTCGTCCTTTAAGGTAATATGGGATAAAATCAAATTACCTAACAAAGAGAGATTGTCATGTTTATCAGTTCTGGTTCAAGTTCCCACAGTGACGTTTGAGCTAAAGAGATTTTGGAGTGTGACATTGCTAATTCCAGATCCTCAGATAGCCTCATTCACATTAAGCTGTCATTCTGGGTTTTCAGTCTCCTTTATGTTTTAATTAAATGTTTGATTTGCCATTCCTGCACTATTGACACAACCTCTTGTGAAATTTTACCCCACAGAGGCGGAGACCTACGCTAACACAAAGCTGAACTTTAACCACAAGCTGCAAGACTGGAGCACTGAAACAGGGCTAATGACCTTTGCCAGGTAAATAGCCACTGATCTCCCACGTAAGCATGCAGACAAATTGTTACTGCAGGCACACACTTGGATTTTTGTTCCAACGATTTATCACTCAGTTTTCCTCTCTGCTTGTGCATGCTAACTTCTTGAGATCTGCAAAGCTAATAGTTGAGTGACTTTTAGTCACATGGTAATTGTTGGTCTTTGCGTCCAATGTGATTCATAATCTTCCATCGAGTTAATGCTGAGGTAACTCCATGCCCTTTTAGTTGTGGGTTAATGTCCCCATGCAAGTTAATAATTAACTCTACAGGAAAGAGCAGAAATTGTGAGAAATTAGTTTAAAGTTCTGAAATTGGATTCAGTCTTATCCACCAATAACTTCTATTTTAATATCATCTCCTGACAATAACAATAAATTTTTTTCTGATGAATGTAGGTTTTACTTTTATGGGTTAGGGAACTAACCCTAACCCCTTTATAATTTTGAGAGAGCAGGGTTCTATCAAAGCATTTATTAACCTTCAAAGGAATTGTCAACCCTGCCTCAGAGTCCTTCTCCACCCACATATCAATTTTGAAAACTGCAACATTAGTAGGCACTACCTGGTGGACCGAGAGGGCGGAGCTGCGGCCGTGACGAAAATGGATGGGTAACGAGGCGAAGCTAGCTCCCTTCACGCTGAGCAGTCATTAGAAGTAGAGGACTTTTCTCCCCCTCCTTACCCAGACAATCAAGAAGAAAGGGACCAAGTCTATTTGGAGGAGACAAGCGGACCTGATCCTTATTGTTTTGAGCTTGTGAGTTGCCTGAAACTACTGGAGCCGACCCAACAGAGCCAGCTCTGAATGGTAGGTAGCCATAAGCCATAGCATCAGATTAGCTGCAGGGTTCGACTCCACAGCATTAGAGAACTATTGTTCAGCATGTTTTAGAGGTTTATCTGCTTCAATACACCTGGTTTTAATCAGCAGCAAATTGCTGAGCTGCTGAACAGCTAATCTAACCTGTTAAAGCAGGAAAACCACTAAAACGTGCTAGATAGCAGCTCTCTAAGACATGGCCACCTACAGTGGGCTAAAGTTACTGTCTGCTGCAGAGAAAGTTTTAACAATACCCCATGAGAAAATTATTCTGTAATGTGATCATTTATGTTACACAATCACAAACAGCCCACTAAAAGTGCCCTGATCTCATTATTTATTTACTAATACCAGCTGTTCTCGGGGTTGTAGGTGGTCCTCTGGTGCCAGCAGCTGGGTCTCCTCTGGTGGTGTCAGGAGCTTCCAGAAGAATGTGTCTTTGAATGAGTCCTTCCTCCTCTAAACAATTATTATTTGTTATATAAATTAAATAAATCTGAGTCTATATATTTCCTGTTTTTGTTCATGTCCATAAATATTTAAACACACTTGAATTTAAAATTAGCTTTTAACAGTGAGTTGCTACCATAAATCCTCTAATATTGGCCTGTATTTAATTAACTGCCGGGTATCATATTTTGGCCGGTGTCGGAGTCGGCGGAAGTGAATAATGGCCGTTTTTTTATTGTGGCCGGGTGGAATGTGGTAACAATCAAGTACGGGGGGCGGTTGTGTCATCGTCTCACTTTTGATTTGCCAGTGATAGACCGCGAGGGTGACTTTAACCGTGCGGAGACGAAGAGGAGGCGAAAATTTGATATCAAGTTCAAAGAGAACGTGCGCTGCAGAACACTGGGGAGTAGTAGTAGGGGTTGTATGAACTAGTCACTAGTCGACTTCACCGCTCTATAGTGACTTTTTATGCCTGTCATCGACTAGTCGCTGTCACGTGATAATGACCGGCAAGATGCAGTCCACGAAAAAGACAGCAGCCTGCTGTCAGCAGATGAAAAGCTCCTGCGCGTCAGGAGGCAACGCGCTGTGCCAGAGCGTCGGTACTGACACCCGCCGTAAAACGGACATTTAACCAAATTGTGACGTTTACCCTCTTGCAATTTAACCTTCCCCTCACCCCCATCCTAACCTTAACCAGCTTGCGCATGCAAAGCTCTGATTGTTGACGCGCTCCAGACATCTGCGTCCTGAGCACGGCCACAGTAACATTATCAAATCAGGTGTCGCCACCTCAAAAACTAATTTAACACGCGATCGTTCATGTCGGCTCATTTCCTTTTATGTTTTCTGTCTTTTATTCTTTTATTTGTGCCTGATGCGTTTAGCTGTTGTGGACCAGGGCGCATCACCTGTTTTGTCCTCGGTGACGCACCTAACTGATGTGGCCGGCGAGCACTCCGCTGTTTTTGCGGTCGGTAGATCTTTTAGAACTGCAGTTCAAAGGTAACTCATGAGGTGAATATATATGAACCCAGGTAGCAGTTTTTCTTTAGGATTGAGAGGAGATGCAGGAAGATAATTAACAGGCAGGACAGAAAAACAGACCAGGACTGATGCTGAAAAACTAGTTCATGCATTTATTACATCAAGACTGGATGCCCAGGGACGCAGATCCCACCAGGCAGCCACCGGGAGTGCAGTGATCGTCTGGCCACACCAGCTGACACCACCGTACAGACAGGCTGTCTCAAGTGTAATATGATCCAACAAAAGATTTCTATATTGGTTAATTCAATTCAATTCAAATTTATTTACTCAGCGCCAAATCACAACAAGAGTCGTCTCAAGGCACTTCACATAATAAACATTCCAATACAGGTCAATTCATTAAGCCAATCACAAAAAAGTTTCCTATATAAACATGGGCTGCATGGTGACGCAGTTGTTAGCACTGTTGCCTTGCAGCACGAAGGTTGCAGGTTCGAAACTCGGCTGCAGCCTTTCTGCGTGGAGTTGCGTGTTCTCCCCATGCATGCGTGGGTTTCCTCCGGGTACTCCGGTTTCCCCCACAGACCACAACATGCCCTATAGGTAATAAATTGTAAGTCGCTTTGGATAAAAGCGTCTGCCAAATAAATGAACATTAACATATATAAGGAACCCAGCAAATTGCACCGAGTCACTGACTAGTGTAAGTGACTTTACAGCAATCCTCATACTAAGCAAGTATGCAGTGACAGTGGAGAGGAAAACTCCCTTTTAACAGGAAGAAACCTCCAGAGGATCCTGGCTCAGTATAAGCAGCCACCATGGCCCCCAGTGAGTCGTGGGGGACTCACTGGGGATGGAGAAAACAGAAAACACACACACACACACACACACACACATACACACACACACACACACACACACACACACACACACACACAAGCACACGCAAGCACGCAAGACAAAATAATGTTTCTACGGTTACATTGTGATTTCTTAGTGAATATTCTATTTGGTGAGAGATAAACCTCCCCTATTGTATTTATCCTAGTGAATCTATAATTAAACGGGTAAACTAGTAGTAGCACATTCAATGTGAAGGAAAGTAAAGTGTTATCAGGAGAGGGAGAATGATTAAATGTTAGCAACAGTGTTCAAGCCAATGGCCCCCTCCATGATGCTAGCACAGCTCAGCAGAACATCATTGTAGCTTCTTCTGGGGAGAAAAACACTAAGAGAAAAAATAAAGTTGACAGCTGAAATTGCAGTCTAAACCTATAGCAGCATAACTACAGAGAAAACTCTGGATAACCTAGCCTTTTAGATGAAGGCATGTTGGAGGCAGGGCAAGGGAGAGCCGTCTTTACCGACTGTACACTCCACCTCCCTCTACTCCCCCACTTGTCCAGATTCAGGCTAACATCAGATTTTAACCATAGGCCCTATCAAATAAAAATGTTTTAAGCCTGGTCTTAAAAGTAGACAAGGTGTCTGCCTTACGGACTAAAGTTAGGAGTTGGTTCCAGAAGAGAGGAGCCTGATAACTAAAAGATCTGCCTCCCATCCTATTTTTAGATATGTTGGGAACCACCAGTAAACCCGCAGTCCAAGAGCGAAGTGCTCTGTTAGGAACATATGGAACAATCAGGTCACTGATGTATGATGGAGCTTGATTGTTAAGAGCATTATATGTGAGAAGAAGGATCTTAAAATCTATTCTGAATTTAATAGGCAGACAATGTAGGGAAGCTAAGACAGGAGAGATATGATCTCTCTTTTTAATTCTCATCAGAACTCTAGCCACAGTATTTTGGACAAGCTGAAGACTTTTAACTACATTCTGTGGACTTCCTGAGAGTAATGAATTACAGTAATCCAGTCTTGATGTAATAAATGCATGAACTTGTTTTTCAGCATCAGTCCTGGAAAGGATGCATCTAATCTTAGCAATATTTTGAAGGTGGAAAAAGGAAATACTACAAACCTGTTTAACGTGGGATTTGAATGGCATGTCCTGGTCAAAGATAACACCAAGGTTCCTTACTTTGTTCTCTGAGACAAATTTAATTCCATTCAGGTCAGTTGATTGACTGAGCAATTTCCTTTTCTGAATTTCAGGTCCAAAGATGAGAACTTCAGTCTTGTTTTCATTTAAAAGCAAAAAGTTTTGAGTCATCTAATTATTTATGTCTTCAAGACAGGCCTGTAATCTAACTAACCATTTAGGTTCATCAGGGTTAATGGATAGACATAACTATCGTCAGCATAACAGTGAAAGTTTATCCCACGCTGTCTAATGATTTTATCAACTGGGAGCATATGTATAGTAAAAGGAATTGGCCCAAGCACTGAACCCTGTGGTACTTCACAAGTAACCCTAGAGTATGAAGAAGATTTGTCATGTACATTTACAAAATGATATATATCAAACAGGTAGGATTTAAACCAGCCTAGCGCTGTTCCTTTGATCCCTACAACATGTTCAAGCCTTTCTAAAAGAATATTGTGATCAACTGTGTCAAAAGCGGCACTGAGAACTAACAAGACTAGAACAGACACAAGATTCTTATCTGAGGCCATGAGAATATCATTTGTAACTTTCACTAATGCAGTTTCAGTGCTGTGATACTCTCTAAAACCAGACTGAAATTCCTCAAACAGATCATTAGTGTTTAAACGCTCACATACTTGGATGGCCACTATTTTGTCAAGGACTT